ACAGTCCTTCCAATTGTTTATTTCAATAAAAAGAATGAATATTCGAGAAATGCGAGTAATAGTTATTCTTTTATGTGTACTACTTATAATTGTTTTTATTGTCATTTGGCGAACTACTGGAATGATGTCTTGCGCAACTGGATTTGAATCACTGTGAAAAAATTTGGGTGGCGAATCGTGGCGGCACGTCACACCTCCCCCTCTTAGAAAAAATAAAGTTATCGTGAAAGCGATGACTTTATTTTTCACTGGGCGTATGTATTTATTAGTGTGGATGTTATCAAAGATTTTCCAACTATTACATACTGTTGTACGCTACGGCGCTCGTTAGTTCTCGCATTCGTTTATGTCCTCTTGATCTTTTCTTCGTAGTCATATGGTGCTGTATCTTCTCCAACGGTGTTTTCTCCAGTTTGTTTGCAGCGTAGTTGGCTGTACTTAGTTCGTTTCGCGCGGTTCACAGCAGGTAAACGATGCACACTTGACGGAAGACTTGGTGTAACCTTTTATTAATGAATCGACCAATGAATGATTTTACTGTTCTGAAAATCACAAATATTGTAATGAATCCGGCGGAGAGAGAGCCGAAATTAATGAAACCATCCTATACTTTCTTTGCGGTGGAATCTGCTATTTTTCCCAATGTATCTTCGGGTTATAAATTTGAGAGGTACAACCCATCGGTCAGCTGTTGTCTGCCGGTCCTTGTCCTCATAATATTGTTTGTATAATTTGTTGTTCAGAAGGATACATCAGATGGTCCTTTAATTTTCAATTTGCTGAGGCGTATAGATACTGCTGGTGGCAAGAGTGCTTGGTGCGGTATATTTCATGAGAGCCTTGCCTTTTTTCAATATTTCTGGTGCGAGTACATTTACTGGGTTAGATAATAGTCCAATCCATCCGTGTTCATCATTATTCTGCATCGAGTGTAACGAATAACTTTGTATTCGATGGTTTGGAGTAGTCAATGTGGGTGCGTGAGGCGTTCAAGCGTCAGGCTGGATATTGCGATCAAATCCGATGAATTCTTCTACGATGTTTATGGTGACAAGAACCAGAGCGACGTGACGCAATATTTTTTAATACATGATATCGTACTTATTACATGCTTATGATCGAGAGGAGGCTTTTTGCATACGATGACGATTCGTTTGCGGGGAGAGTCTGAGGTGTATAGCGGGTGGGGTTCGTCGCTTCTCCAGTCTCAGAGTAATTTATTTTGAAAGTAACATTTCCTTTTTTTAAAAGAATCGAGTTTAGTCAGGATAAGAGAAATGACGAATACCACGGTGTATAAAGTGTGTATATATAATCTGAATTTTAGTTTTTGTATACTTTCAGTCTATCGACGTGTACTCTTCTGGTTTTTCCCTCTTTTAATTCTATGATCGCATTGTTATTTTCTAACAGTTTTAATAGTTTGAAAGGACCATTGTAAGTATTACCGAATTTTCCCTGTTTCACTGCCAATAGTAAGACATCATCTCCGACTTTTAATTTCTGGGATACAACCTTTTTATCGTAGTATGTTTTGCTTTTGGCCTTTTCTTTTTCCAAATTTTTGCGAGCGAGGTTTTGTAATCAGTCCATTTCGTCGAAAAGATCGTTTAAATATTGCGCATAGGTAACGTCTACGTCTTCCTCTATAGGGGAAGAGCTTGGTAAACGGGCGAGTCGAGCGAAAACTAATTCGTATGGAGTGTGCTTTGTTCCTTCGTGTACGCTAGTGTTATATGAGAACATGGCTGAGTTTAACCATGAATCCCAATCGTTTCCCTTACTGTTTACATAAGCGTTTAAATATTCTAATAGAACCTGATGAGATCTTTCGAGTGATCCGTTAGATTGAGGGTGATAAGCGGTTGTAGTAAATTGTTTTATATTACATTTCTTGGCTATTTTTCTGAATACGGTGGATAT